GTGATGAAAATATCTCAAAATGGTATTATTACATCTTAAAAATAAAACTTTATTCACTAAATCAGATGCCAAATATGTTTTTTTGCTAAAATATGATTACTAATATTTAAAAATAATCATTTATTAGTACTAACATCACAGGAATCAAAAAGTACTTTCTTATCAGTTATACTAAAGTAAGAAAATTATTTCTATAGTTTAGTTATCACATTAAAGGATTATCTTTAATTCTAATATTTTGTGACTTTACATAATATTATATTTCATTCTCTTCTTTTGTGTTTATTTCTGTGTAATTGCCTTTTAGATCACTAAATAAATTATTATTATTATTTCCTTCAAGACTTCTATCTTTAATGTCATTTAAAATACGAAGGGTTATTTTTAAAAAATTATATAACTTTTTACTAACTGATATGCTCTATCTCATTTATCATTTGTTAATTACTTAAAATGTTTAAATCAGAGATTGAAAAATGTAGCAATTAAGGCAGTATTTATTAGAATAGATCATAATTCATCTAATGATAGGTAAATTATAATTAGAACTTATTCAAATAAACCATCTGTATTAACTGGTAATAAAATTTTCACCTTATTTATATCTTCTGCAATATTTTCAGTTTATATTCATTTTTTAATACTAGATCTCTGTTAAGTTCATTCTCTTTTTTAATTATGAACACTCATTCTCTGTTGAAATTACTAGTATACATATTATCATTATTTACAAATACCAGCACTTGATATATTATTTTCAATTATTTTATCCATATTATTTTTCTCATATTCTTCGTCATAAATAAATTTCAAATAGATATTAATTGTCTCATTTTTGTCAAGTCTTAGAACAAATTTCTTTTTAAGTGACTCTATATATAGGTGAATAAGGTTAAGTATTGGATAATTAGTATCACACAAATGTCTAGTCACAATTATCAGTTCTAATAATTTTATAGCTTTTTGTAAAAATCTATAATATAAATAAATAAAATAAACAATCAATATAATTATAAAATTTATTTTAAATAATTAAATAAAATCTTACTTTTTTTTTCAACTGATAAATATAACTATTCTAATATTTCACCATCTTTATGAGTGGTTTGATCTGCTTAGTAAAGTAATAAAATTTATTAAATTATATAATTTTAAAGATGCTTTTAAGTTAAATAGATAGAATTCCACCTGGTTTTATATTTATTAAAAGATCAAGAGGATTCTGAATGATATTTTTTTCAACTTGATTAGATTCACTTTGCATTTTGTATAAATGTTGAGCTTGCTTAAGGAGTCAAAAAAAAGTTTGCAAGCTTTTATTAATATGATGATATATCACATTTAAAGATAGTCCTTATAATTATTTTTAAATTTCAATTGAGTTGCAACTTAATTGCACTATAAGAAAATTTAATTGCATCATAAGTTGCAACTCAATTGCACTATTTTTTTAATTGCAATGACCATTTTTAATCACATTGCATTACTTTAATCTTTTTTTGGATTAATAATTGCAATGTATGTATAATGCAAAGTTGACATTCCTATATTGCTTATATAATTATTATTTAATAATCATATTTTTTTAATCATGTTAGCTCTATTATCTGTAGCAATAGTAAAAACTAATATTTTAAGATACCATTTACAAATTATTTTAAATAGCTCTTTATCTATCACTTTTCCAAAATGTAAGTATGAAAGATGATTGCAAGAAAGAAGTGCTTCTTAAAATTTAAAATCAAAAGATAGCTAAATTACTGTAACTTCTAAATATTTATATCAAGATTTGGCTATCTATAAATTAGCAGTTAAATAGATAGTTATTATGCTACTACAAAATAAAAAACTTAATTAATTATAGTTTAATTATAAGTTTTGTGAATTAATTCTTTAGCAGTTTTATCATATAGAATATAAAATCTAAGTTTACATATGTAAATAAATTTATGAAAAAAATGATTCTGTAAAATGTATAGAAGCAACAAAATAAACAATAAATTTAATGAATTTTCTTACTAATAATTCTTATTTTTGGGCTAAATATTTTAGTGATAAATTATAATAATCAATAGCTTAGGTTTAATGACTTTGATTACATTTTAACTAATAAGAAATCAATAAATTATATTAATTCTAATAATATACAAATATAAAATATAAATAATAATTTAATTTTAATCATACTTTCCTATGTTCATCTAAATAGTTAATAAAATTGTCTTTTATTATTTTATATTTATCTTGTAAATAAACTATTATACTTAAAGTATTTTCACTTTTACAAGTATATATATAAGGTTTTTTATATAATCTAGAAAGGTTGTGTTCATATATTTTATAGTATATAAGCTCAAAGTAATTTTCATCAATACAAAAAAAAGGAGGTATAACTCTTATTATTACAATCAAATATAACATTAAATTTTTACTTTTTTTAAGTTTTAAATAAATATATAGAGTGTGTTGTATTAGAATTTTAGTCAAAATCAATATCTGAAAGATAAATATAGCTGATATTAAAATTATTTTTAAAGAGTTAAGAAAGAGATAAGACTAAAGTCTAAGAAGATTATCGATATTAATCTGGTTGATTTAAATTTGATTTTAAATTTTATATATTATAGTATAATAATATAATTAAAATTTAAGACCAATTATTTAAAATTAGTTATAATAAAACTGGTTTATCATTTTAATAAAATTTTAACTTAGTTATAAATCTGAAATGATTAAACCCATTATAAATCTGATTTTAATAACTGGTTTCAACCTCTAATATCTATTTACTAATTTTTAAGATTAATCTAACCTATAACTGCATCTATTTCACAACAAGATATTGAATCAATATTCTAATTTATATAAAGAATGTAGTAGTAAAAATTTTGATTATTATAAGATTACTGATAAGATATTATGCGAGGGTCTTAGAGAGACCATTTACCTATTATGCAAATTAAATCATGATAATAAAAACATAGAAGGTAAGTATAAAGCTAGATCTTACTTTATTAAATATGAATAGCATAAAATTAAAGTAACTGCATAGTCTGGTTACTTTAGTCAGAGATGCTTTACATAACCCTATATTTGCTCACAATTTATTGTAATATTTTTTAGGACTAATTTATATTAACTATTACCTACTGTAATTTAAATTATTTGTAATCTTAAAAAGAAAAATAACTGAGTCTGATAAAATATTAACCTCAAATATTTGGATTAGCATGCAAAGTTAAGTAGGTTATCAAGCATTTTGACAGATAATATTTATTCTAATTTATACAAAAGGTATAAAAAAGAAACTGAAAATGAATCATAGCAATTATCAAAAGCTATGATAAATTTGTTAGCAAAGTCTCAGACTTCTGATATCACTTTTAAAGCAAAACCTGATTCAGAGCTAATTATCAAATCCATGTTAAAGCATTTTATATATTTGAAATTCTGAAATAATTTTAGGGTATTTGATAATTATAATTTTGCATCACTTCAGTTATAGAGCTTACTATATCCTATTTGCAATAGAACATGGCTCATAATACCATGAAAATAGGAATCAATTTTCTTATAAACCTGAATTAGCAATGTTGTATTCTCATGATAAATTGAAATATTATCTTACCTATAACACTTTAAGCAATAAACTCAAGTTCGTAATTTTAGCATAATATATCACATGTTAGAGTAAATTATTTATATTGTACTATTGTATATTTTTTTAATTATAACTGATAGGTAATAATCTTTTAAAAAGTATCAGAATATAAGTTAAAATAGTAAATTTTCATCTCGCCACCTTTTTGTACTCATTTCTATTTTTTTAGTTCTTATTTATATGAAGACGACCAAGTTAATAATCATTAGTAAAGAAAAATGTGCAAAACAGTTAATCAAAGATTTTGTAAAACTTTTCAGATATTTTATTCTTTACGCTATTTTGAAATAATAGGAATAGTGGAATAATTAACAAAAAATTTTTTATATAAATTGAGTTGAATTTACTATTATAAGAAAGCTAGTAAAACTACCTCTATCAGTCAATTCTAATAGTAACTCTATGAACGCAATCACTCTATTTTAGACGATCTATATAAGAATGCATTTTAGAATTTGAACTCAAGTCAGAAAAGTTAACTCGAGTCAAAGTCGAATCAAGAAATTTTTGACTTGAAAAGTACTTAAATTGGAAATATGAGTCAGAAACTCAAGTCAAACTCAATTTAAAATCATAATGCAGGTTAGAAAATACAATGCAGACTAAAATTTTGTGATATTTTGGGACTTAAACTAAAGGAAATTTTTTTAAAAAATTTTTATTCAATAATTATATAATAAATGTTAATTATATTATGTTAATAAATGCAGTTTAAGAAAAGAATTACATATAATTTATAAAATATAGCATAAATTTGAAGTTGACTTGAGTAGTTTTAATTTGAGTTAACTCAAATTCTGATTTGAATCAAGAAAATCTTGATTTGAATCAGAATTTAACTTAAGTTAATTCAAGTTAAGCTAATAAGAATCCAGTCTTTAATACATTTTATCAAGCAAATGGAACTTCAAAACCAGAAAACATATATTTTAAGAATGTTAATTACTTTAGCAAAAAAGGTTCCTATAATAAAAATGAATGTGTTATATCGTCTAATAGCAGTAAATGTAACAGTATTAGCAGAAAAAGAGAAGATCAAATTTATGAACAGAATGTCAATTCGCAATAGAATTCTAATGAAAACAATTACAAAAAAGAATGTTATACAAAAACAATTGACTAATAGAAATGTTAAGGGTGAAAATATTCTGATATTAAAATGATGCAATTTGAATTTTATCCTAACAGTGAAAGAATCCAAAATTTGCAATTATTATTAGAAAAATTGTGCTGAATTGGTATCTTGGCAGGTCATGTATAGACGAAAGAAAATTTGAAAATACTGTATCGTCTTGTAGTCTCAAATGTACAATATAAAGGAGAAATAATTCTGGAAACTATGTCTCATGTGTTGATGAGTGAAAAATATAATGAACCTCAAGAAGGTTGCAATAATCTAAAAAATCTGTTTATGATAATCAGAATGATTGCAAATAATTTAGATTGTAAACATGTTGTAGAATTTCTTGACTATTATATTGAAAGTAGAAATCCTACTACTTATAAATGTTATTTGAAAGATGTTAAAGTGTATAGTTTTGATCATATCATTCTCATCAGGAATTGTTACACTGGATTTCTTTTTCTGGATTACTACGGTCATGTGTTTGAATAGGAAGACTCAATGAGTGTTTTATGATTGCTTGGAGATTATTCAAGTATGACGTCAAAGGAATCTCTAATTAGACGTGTAATATGAATTTGAGGATGCTATGTATGGTATATAAAGATATTGTTTATTCCTTTTTTAGTCTTAATTTTTATAATTAGTTCCTTTCTTCTAGATTTACCAAATGAAATAACCTTTGACAAACCTGCCACAAAAACGATTGATGTTCATCCTATTGCAAAGAAGAAAAAGAATTTGAAAAAAAGAACTCAAAAAAGAAACAACATTGATCTGATTTCTATATTGTGTTTTGATCAATTGTGATATGTCCTTTAAATTTGATTTATAGTATTATTTGCATGAACAAATAATAGTGATTATGAAATATACATAGCATAGGAAAAATTAATTATATTAATATATTTTGCATAATCCGCAGGCGTAAATAATAAAGATTTTTACATGACATTAATGCTTCATATCCAAATCGTAAAGACCATTTCACTATGTAACTCAAGCTTGTCACACTTCTTCCAATAAGATCCTGAATAAAAATCATATATGATTGAATTTAATTTTTAGGGCGAGGATCATTCTAGATGGCAATTTATACATCGTATTGTGTTACAAAATTTATGACCTTTATTACAACATCCATTGCATTGGATTTATATTCTGTAGAAAGACACAAACCACCTCTACTGCGGGCGATTTCTTAGCCTCCGAAAGATCACAAGGAAAATTACCAGCAAATTTTGAGCACCATCTTCCCATATTTTTTATTCGATAAAGAGTTGTAGACCATTAATGCCTTTTGGCACATCTCCAAAGCATCGGGGTATCTATATTAACATATTCCGCAGAAAGGCACTTACCTTGCTAACAAAGACGAAGTTCTTCCTAAAATAACAATTAAAAACGTCTAACTAATTAAAATTATTTTGGACTGTAATTTTCTTTTGTTATAATATACTAAATGTTTGCTACAAAAATTACTTGAAAATATGGTTAGTTGACGATTTTTGTCGATCAAATTATGCATAAAATCTAACAGTAATAATTATAATATTACACCTCGCAGATTTTGATTTAAAAGTATTTGAAATACCCCATTGTTAAACGGAACTATTTGTTGGGAGTAGCCTAAATAGAAAATTCGTTAATCAAAAGAAAATACTTAATTGCGCACGCATCTTGAATTTTTTCTTATTAGAACTCGGAATCCCGATACTATTAAGCTAATGTCTATTACTCCCTTTGACAAAAAAAAACTGGCTTAAAGCTTAAAGAAAATCTCGGAATCTATGTTAAAAAATAGTTTAGCTATTCCTAATATAGAAAAGTAAACTCGGAGAATCAAACGTATCTAAAATCAAATGTCATTTACAATATTTACAATAGGCTTAATCAAAGCAATTCTACAAGAAAATCATATTCGCTATACGTTACACGCAATTAAAAAAATCATCGGGGAGGGACATGTCCCGTGATGCCAATATTTGCACGTGATCATGTAATTTGATATAAATATATACATAATTTTTTTTTTTTTAAAAGATGATAATTATTCATTAAAAAATGAAAGATTGGTTAAATTTCTTTGGTTGGGTATTTCTCCCTAATTTAATTACAAATTGGATTCAAAGTACATATTATAGAATAGTGTATCCAGCTGGAGCGAATATACCAAAACGTGGACAACCAAAATATGCATTACATCGCAAAAGAATTTACATATTTGTCGTATTGGCCTATTTATTTTATACAATTGTTGAAGTAATTTATTCCTTACCGCCAAATTATTATAATACGCTTGAGGTTAATCAAGATTTCACCATTAAAGAACTTAAAACAAATTTGAGAAAACTGTGAGTGAAACATTTTTCGAACTTTTATTTTATTTTATTTATTTTTTCGCGATTTAAAGATTCTAATAATTTTTTTTTTTTTTTTTTGTAGTCAACTAATATATCATCCCGATCGAAATTCAGGAAAACATACCGAGGCGGATTTTATATATTTGCGTACTGCCTTTAACACACTAAATAATCCTACAAAGCGATTTGCGTATGATAGGTAAGAAATTCATTATAAATTCATTATAAGGTTAACAAAGAAAAAAAAGGAAAGAGAAAACTTTAAAAAGAATTCTATTTTATTAAATATTCATTTTTTTTTTTTTTTTAGATTTGGATCGGAAATAAGTACATGGAATCAATGTAAAACTATTCGAGATTACCTTTCAGTTGGAAGAAATAATTTTTTAGGATTTTATTTAGGAACGGGACTCCTTTTAATTATCATAAACATATTAGGAAAAGGAGAATTTGGGAAATATTGGAGATTTGTGGTATTTTTTGGTATGGCATGTATTGAGGGTTCATTAATTTTATATCCAAAACCTTCAGCTTTTGTAACGTATATAACGAGAAATTATGTAATCTTTGAAAAGATTACAATATTTCGACAACTATTTATTTCACTCTTTATTGCACTTTCACAAGTTGGACCTGTATTATTTCCTCCGCAAAAAGCAGAAAATTTACGTCCAGTTCTACAACACCTTGAAATTTTAAGTAATGTTGCCCATGAAGATGTTTTAAGTCAACTCAAATTAGGATTTTATCCTTTTCGAAATGATCAAAATGCTCAAGTTGAATTAAAAAGAAAAATGGAAAAATTGATGGTGGATAATTATTTACGTCAAAGGGATCCTGAATTTAGTCAAATTCATCAACGTATCATATCTAGTCGTGAAAAAAACAAATGAGTATCACTTTTTCAAATATATATAGCTTTTAATTTTATAATTTAATCAGATATTTTGTATCTTTGCTCATGAAATATCATCTTTCGAATGATTTTAATATTTTATTAAATATAATTGTTATTAATCAAATAAAATTCATAGATAGTTGAAGTTAACAAATATTATTTTGCTAACACATTTTTTATTAAAATTTCAATGGTTTACTTCAATCTTAGAGCACTTTCATCGTTTCAGAATGGATGATCATAACATGATTTTTTTTTTTTTTTTTTTTTTTGATGATCAAGAAGAAAACGAGTTGAATGGTTTATAAAGCTAATTGAAATTTAAGCATTTTATTTTATACTTATCTTTAAACCCATAAATAGTATCCGGAACATTACATATTTTAGACACAAAAATTAAATTTAAGGATCATCTCACCGCATATCACAAAATATACGTCATTCGCGTATCCAATCACTATTTTCTATTCTGCAATCTATAAAATCTATAAAATAAAATAAAATAAAAATAAATAAAAATAAAACATATCTCCATTTCAATAATGGAACAAAGTTATTACAATCGTAGACGTGCTTTTATAGAATCTCAAATAGAATTAATTGAACATGAATTTACGCCTTCAGAAAAATGGTTATCTAAAGCTCAAAATGCAAATGATAAAATTCCATTAACCATCATTGATTCGGTTTTAACAAAATGTATGTTAAATATATTTCTTTTTTTCATTATTTTGTTAAAAATCAACCTTCTGTATTAAAAATACTTTCTTTTTTTTTAAAAAAAAAAAAAAAGTGAATATGAATAATAGAAAACAATATAAACAAACTTTTAATCGACAATCCATTCGTCAAATTCTTGAGCAACTTCAATACCTCTGGGATCAAAAACGTAAAGATGCTTTAGAAGGACGTGTTAGAGTTGAAAGTCGGGAAAATTTTGATGATTTAAAGTAAGATGATAACAGGTTTTTTTATTTTATGTAATGTAATTAATTACCCTTGACCTTATCAATTTAATAATAGGTGGATTGAATCATTTCCTAAGGAATGGCCGCAGAATTCAAATTGTGAACTGGATGATGAACAATTCGAAAGGTAAATAAACTAACCTTCAGTGTAAGACATATTATTTATTTCGTTTTTATTTTGCTTAGGTATGCCCAATTACGTACACGTGTCCACAAAATACAGGAAGAATATATTGCTATTAAAGAGAAATATAATCATTACGAGGTACATCAACGTGTCATTTATGTTAAAAATATTTATGTTTTTTATTTATTTATTTATTTATACGATTTCATTTGCTTTTTTTACAGTCTCTTCAAAGCCTTGTCGCTCCCTTAAATAAGTCATCAATCCAGCAAAATATAATCACAAAGAATGCTCCGGTAATTAATGAAATCAAAAAAATGCGAGTTCTTGGTAAGTTACATATATTTATGAATTTTATTTATTTACGTATTATAATATTAACAAACATTTTTATCTTAGTATCTAAGCTGCAGAGTACTTTGCAGAGGAGATCAGAAAACCTGCCCAAAAGTAATTGATTTTTCAATATAAAAAGAAATTTAAACATTCAAAGCTGCTTGGCTGGTAACTTGTAAATTCTCAGAGTATGGTTTTAGAGCTGGTTCTACATAATCTTTCAAAAATTTATCAACTTGTTGTGGAGCACGACCAATAAAAGTTTTAGAGTCCAACAAAGATTCAAGCTGAAAAGAGAGGTTTTTTTTTCATTTTTTCTTTAGCAAATCTTTTCATCTTGTGAAAATATTAACCATAAAATTAAAATTGATTTTATTACCTCATTCCAAATTGGCTTGAAATATTCTGTTTTCTTGATTCTTTCGATTAAATCATTTTCACCACCTTCTTTAACTTTACTTGCAGCTTGATGGCTTAAAACACGAATTTCTTCGTGGTATTGTTGTCGATCACCTCCTTTTTTAACTAAAGCCATAATAACATTTTCTGTGGCCATAAAAGGAAGTTCTTGTGCTATATGACGTTCAATAACTTTGGGATAAACAACGAATCCTTCGGAAACGTTTTGTAAAATAGATAATACTATATCTGCCGTTAAGAAGGCCTCCGGAAGAGATATACGACGATTGGCACTATATAATTAAAAAATTTTATTATTAAACTTATATACATATAAATATTGAATGGATGAGGACGATGATATTTAAAACTTGCCTGTCGTCTAAAGTCCTCTCAAACCATTGTACACTATTTGTCATTAAGGCATCTTGGGCAAGGATCATTAAATGTCTAGCTAGACTACAAATTCGTTCACAACGCATTGGGTTTCTTTTATAAGCCATTGCGGAACTACCAATTTGATCTTTTTCAAAAGGTTCTTCAATTTCTTTTAGATTTGCTAATAATCTTATATCAGTTGCAATCTTATGAGCCGTTGCACCAAAAGAACTTAAAGCATTTAAGATATCAACATCAATTTTACGAGAATAGGTTTGTCCGGTAACAGGATATGCTTCTTTAAAATCAGCAAGTTCGGTAACGCGTTTATCCAAGGCTTCTACCTAAGAATATAATTATTATAAGAAATCACTATGAATCAGGATTTTTTTTTTTTTTTAAAAAAAAAAATCCAGCTCACCTTTTCATGGTCACCTTCGAATAAAGCCAAAAATGAGGCTTGCGTACCTGTGGTACCTTTAACACCACGAAATCCGATATCATCACGAGCACGAGTTAAGTTACGAAGATCCCATAAAAGTTCCTAAAACATCTTAATTTTAAGAATATTTTCATTGAGATAACCGAAATAAAAAAAAAAAGAAAAATTGAATAGAATTAAATAAAGTAATTTATCAACCTGAATCCATAAAGTAGCTCTTTTTCCAACAGTGGTAAGTTGAGCAGGTTGAAAATGCGTAAATCCCAACGTAGGCAAATCCTTATATTCATTGGCAAATTTGCTAAATCTATCAATAACTCTTGCTAACTTGTCTAATAATAAATTAAGTCCTTGTTTCAATACGATCAAATCTCCATTATCCGTAACATAACAACTTGTAGCTCCTAAATGGATAATTCCTGCAGATTTTGGAGCTACTAAACCAAATGCGTGAACATGTGCCATGACGTCATGACGCCTTTTTTTCTCCTCTATTGCTACTACCTCGAAGTCTTTAGGTGTCAGATTCTATGATAAATCAAAAAGTATTTTAAAGGATTTTAATTATTTTCCGAAAGCACTTTAATAAGTAAAATTGTTATTACCAGGTGTGCTTCCATTTCTTTAATAGCTTCATCGGTGATACCGACTAAACCTAATTCTTTTTCTGCTATAGCCAAGTTTAACCAAAGTTTTCTCCAGGTATAATAACGTGTAGCTGGAGAAAATAGTGCGGCCATTTCTGGCGATGAATATCTTGAAGTTAAGGGACTTTCATATTTATCATAAGTAGACATTGTGGGAACAGATAAAAAAAAGAAGGAAAAAAAAAATTGTTTTCGAAAATTACGAAAAATATTTTTGATGAGATTGATTAAGTCACAAGTCACGTGACAGTCGTTAAATAATAAGCGTTTTATTATATTACTTTTTTTTTTTAAAAAAAAAATATATATACAAAAAAAAAGGAAAGATAAATTATATAATAAGAGAAGGAAATTATCTTGCATCACTCATCCACTTCTTTTGATATGTTAATGCATCTCCCATAGTTGCTTGTATATTTATTCTTTTATGTTCTTCTCTTGATACAATACGTTCAAGTATTTCGCCTGATCCTCGAATTAATCTAATTACAATTGAATAAGTTAGAAGTTACACAAACGAATAAACCTTTATTGATTGAGATTTACCTCACTCGACCATCCACAGGATCTATAACCTCTTTAATTACTGATCGTTCCGCTTCATATTCTTTTTGCGTTTGAGGCATCATAGAAGGTCTTTTTTGCTTCTTTTCAATCTCTTCTTCCTCTTGTATTGTAATGCTAGAACTTTGTATAGGTTCTTTTTTCATACGAAGTTTTTGTTGCCATTCTCTAATTTCTTGAAATAATTGAACTTCATTTGGATCCTTTTCTTCATGCTTTTTTTTCTTGTGTTTCTTATGTTTCTTACGTTTCTTTTTACTTTTCGATTTATGATGATGATATCGTGATGAATCCTTCGAAGAATGATCAGTAGAATTAGCAGAATTCGTAGTATCAGTACTATAATCAATTGAACCTTCTTTAGATAATGAGTAGTGATGCTTTTTGTGCTTTTTATGTTTGCTCTTTGCTTTTGATTTTTTTCTCTTTGGTGAAAGAGATCGAGAATGTGAACGTGAACGTGAACGTGAAAAAGATTTTGTTCTTATTCTTTTTGTTCTATTAAAATTATTATCACGTTCCCTTTCTCGTGAGTAATTCCTTTCTTTATTATGACTTTCTTTGCTATGTCGATAATGTGAATATGAAGAAGAACGTATAGGTGATCTCGAACGGTGCATTTTGTTGTAAATTTAACGGACTTAAAAAAAAGGCATGAAATATGATTGATTAAACGTTTTTGATTGGACGATCATCATTTAAAGTTTTTACCCCATTTTTGTCATCAAGCAAATCAAGCAAAAAAAAAAAAAAAATTCAATAATGAATTCTTTAACCAAATTATTTCCACATTTAAAATTATCACGAGATGCATTAACTAAATATTTCCCTTCCACTAATTCAACGAAATTCAAATCAATTTCTCAAAATAACATTACAACGAATTCTAATTCTCGTCAAAATTCAACGAAAATTTCAAGTGGATTTTTTAAAATTACTTTACGACGTTCACCAATTGGTTTACCTTTAAAACGTCGACTCGTTGTACAAGCTCTTGGTTTACGTCGTTTACAACAAACAGTTTATCATTCTCAAACACCTTATATCGCTGGTATGATACTTAAAGTAAAAGAAATTTTACAAGTAGTAAATGTTAAGAGAATTCCGGCTCCTGAAGAAAGAAAGAAACGTGCTGAAAAAGGTTATGTTATCATTAAAAAACATGATCCAAACTTATAAGATGAAATTATTAAAAGTTAATCTTTTTAGTCTAACAGTTTATATTATATTACATAAAAGTAAATAATATGACAAAATAAATAATAGTGTTTCAATGCTATTTTAACTCGTAAACTTTTTGAATGAATTAAATAATTATATGGGTAATTCAAAAGAAACACCTATCTTCGCTTCTCGCGCAAGTTGTACAATCTTTGATAATTGTACAGATTTAGAAGCAGCATCATCAAGGTCATCAACCGAAATAATACGTAAACCTGATTCCGCGATAAGTTTCTTTGCTGCTTTAACTTCAGTCCCTTGCAATCGAACAATGACCGGCAATGATAGCGATAATTGCGTGGTTGCTTGAATTATACCTTGAGCGATAATATCACAACGCATGATACCTCCAAAGATATTTACTAAAATGGCAGTAACTTGCGGATCGGATGATATAATTTTGAATGCCTCGGTAACTTGTTCTGCCGTCGCCCCTCCGCCAACATCCAAGAAATTGGCAGGTTCTCCTCCGTGAAGTTTAATTATATCCATGGTAGACATGGCCAAACCGGCTCCGTTTACTTAATTTCATTTAATAATTATTAAAGGGAAAGGTCAAACGAACTAAATTTTATGAAAAATGTTATTACCTAAACAACCGATTTGTCCATCCAATCCAATGTAATTCAAATTATATTTGGCTGCTTGCACTTCACGCGAGTCTTCTTGTGATGAATCACGCAAGGCAAATACATCCTTTTGACGGAATTCCGCGTTATCATCGAAATTAAGTTTTGCATCCATACAAAGAACTAAAAAATATATTATATATAAATTATTGTTAACTTATTATATTATTGCGATTTTAAACATTTACCTTCGTGATCGGCAGATTCTGCCATAGGATTGATTTCAACTTGGGTACAGTCTTTATCAGTAAATAATTGATAAAGTTTTAGGATCATGTCAGTTGCCTAAGGTGGGAAATTTTTTTTTATTTTAGAAATTGTATTGGGCTTGAAGTTAAAACTACTTGATTTATATACAAACGTCATCAAGAACTCTCGGAGAAAATCCCAATTTTTCCATTATATTTCTAGCATCCTCCTTTTTTAAGCCCTCGTCGATATCAATTGGAAATGTTATAATAGCTTCGGGATTTTCAGCAGCCACACTTTCAATATCAACACCACCTTGAGAAGAAGCAACAATGACAGGTCCTTGGGATTTTCTATCTTGTAGAATGGCAAAATAATATTCACGACGAACGAATTTACGTTCAACGACAAAAACCTATAATACAAAATATAAAGTAAGAATAAAAATAATTTACGGTATAAAAAAGCATGTTCATAGAAATTATAATTGTTCCTTACCGCATTACATATTTTTCCAGCTGCACCAGTTTGCTTTGTTATAAGGTTATAGCCAAGCATTTGCTCGGAAAACATCCTGGCTTCGGCTGCGCTATAAAATAAAGGTGGTAAAACTTAAATACATAATGATTGATATGTGTCTTATAAATTACATTAAATAGAACTTACGAAAAAATTGCTCTAACTCCTCCCTTCAGACCACTTGTGAAAGTACCTTTCCCGCGACCACCTGCAAGTACCTGAGCTTTGATAACCGCATCCTCAGTACCTAAAAATGAATTACAAATAATAATATTAGTTTAAACTGATAATCAATCTCTTTTAACTCAAACTTTGTTAAAGGTCAACCACACAAACGCGAGATTATATTATAAAAGAGAACTATAAAACTCACAAACCTAGATTTTGAGCAACTTCGTAAGCCTGTTGAGGAGTTGTAGCAACTCCACCTTTTGGAGTTTTTACACCATACTTATTCAAGAGTTCCATTGACAAATATTCATGTATTGCAAGACCACGCTTTTGTTGCCCTTTGGTGAGCTAGTAAAATAATACAAATTAATTTTTCAGCGAATTTTTTTTTCTATGAACATGAAGTAGTAATTATGTTACCATAGAAGCTCGGCTGGTAAAACCTTTAGTAAGATTCAAAGAGCGAAACATTTTTATGAATAAATTTCAAGAGAGAAAGTAAATCAATTGTTAGATTTAAGATTAAAGTAATCTGAATTACATATCAATATTGATTATCAGATTTGTTAATGATTTTCTGCGGTGATAAGTTAAAAATTCTGTGATATCATGTTGCATTGATTTTAATGCATTCTTGTATAAATTAAAATATTGTACCCCCGGATACAAAACACCGATAATTGATTTAAAAAATCATCTTTTTTGACCTCGATTAAACCAATGATTTTCCCGATCATACGCGATTCAATTCCATAATCAAGATTTCCACGCCCATTTTTTTCCTCGGAGCAAGCTTCTCTGGTACGATCTTTACTAATGCCCTTCTCAAATTACATAAAGGAATACCACCCAAATATACACAATTAGAAAATGTATTATTAAATTGGATTGTTGAGCAACGCCAATTACAATATGCTGTTACTCGAACGATGATAATTACAAAGCATTTTCACTTGCTCAAAATATAGATCTTCAAAATCTACAAAAAAACACAAACATTTAAATATACTTTTTAAATCGATATTTATTTATCAAATTGACGTCGTACAACCATTGCACAGCATCTACCTGAAAATTTAGAAGAAAAAATGCGTATGCTAAAGTTAAGGCAGATAAAGCTGAGCTTGATAGGAATGTTTATAAAGCAGATGATGAGAACAACAGGCGTGATGCTGAGCAAAGTTTTCTGAATTATATTTTGAATAAACGAATCCAGTATAATTATCCTTTACATTTAGTTGGAAATATAGATGAAACCCTTCTCACCTTTGATATATTAAATCTAACAACAATTGAAAAATTCGGAACTCATACATTTAGTATTAAAACTACTGATAATGAGAGAAAAAAATTTTACTATTATTCTTGGATATAACAAAACTGCCTCCATTATGTATATTTAAATTAAAACACATACCTTAAGAAAGCTTTTCAAATTGTATATTTATTCATACAAATGAAAAAGGCAGAGTTAATGAAATAGCAATGCTTTAGTAAATTGATAACATTTTGGACTAGAAGAGTACCTTTTAATAATTTTAATTTACTTTTAATTCTTAATTGACTCAATTAAACTTCAATTCCTTAATTAAAAATACAAATTTAGTTGTAAATTCCTAGTAAACTAATATCTAAATTATAACTATTAAATATTTATATTAATAAAAGTTTTAATGAAAATTTATGTATAATTAAATATTTTAGAGAATCATTTATATACTAAAAATGAAAACAATCGTAAGTTCAAAGTAATAATTATTCTTGTATATTCTCATTTAGAGTTTAAGGTTTGAAATTAGATTAGTTTTGAATAATATTTTTTCACTATGATTTAATAATATATCTTGTAACATTTTATCATATCATTCATCTTGTAATCTTATAACACAAATTTATTTTTATCTTATTTATTATCAAAGTATCAAAATATAATATAAATTTAAGACATAATACTTACAAACAATCAGATTTCATTACGTGATTTTATTTGTTATTAGCTTTCTCAAATATTTTAAATATTAGATATATCCTATACAAATTATTTTTATATTAAAAAATTTGTATAATTGTAATTGAATTACTTTATTCTATAATTAAGTATCAAAAATCTTATATTTATTACTTATATTAATTAAAAAATTGATAGATTTATCATATGTTCAATAAAGTTTTGAATCAGGTTAGATCAACCTATTTATCTCTAAAAATCTAGATCAGATTAATTTCTTAATTACAGTTAAAATTTAAACAAAAAATTATAATAAAGAATATGATAAAATTCTTTTAATATAACAAAAGGTAAAACTGCTAAAATTATATTAAACATATAATAAAAGGTACACTAAAATTTTTTTGATAGATTTTGACAGGCATCTATAAATTAATAAATTTTAGGTTAATATTATATTAAATTAATCTATTACCTAATCTAATTTAATCTGAAAAATCTATATTATGTAAAGCTTTGAATTAATTTATTATTTAACTTAAATTGATTTAAAAATTCAGATTAGATTGATAAATTTTTAGAATAATATCAGATCAGATCAACTTATTATCTGATCTGATCTAATCTGATAAAATTTCAAATTAATAAATCATTCTTCTTAAATAATAATAAATCATTAATTAGAATAATAATATATTATTTTTTTTTTAAATAATAATTAATCATTTAATTAGAATAATATTGAATTATTTTTCTTAATAATAATAAATAGTTTAATTAAAATTGTTCTTTTTAAATGATAATAATTATTAATTAGAATAATAATGTGTATTATTTAATTAAAATAATTATAAATCATTTTCTTAAAAATAATTTAGTCAAATTAAGTTAGTTCAGATTAATAAAAATTTAAATTAGATTAGATTTTTATTTAACCTAATCTGATTTTTTCATTTTAAGTAACTTAATTAATCTGATTTAAACTGACCTATTTAAAACTTTAATACTTAATTAATTCTAATTATTAATTTTATTTTAAACAATTATTTTTTTTTATATTTACTATATGTAAAATTTTACTTTAAAATAAATTTTTTCAAAATCTTCCTCTTCTTATAAATAAATATAAATATATAATTTTAATAATAAAAATATATGTAATTTTATAAAAAAAATTCACTTAGATTATAAAATATATTATTTAGTTAGATTTATATAAAATACAAAAAATTAATTTTAAATAAAAATAGAATTTTTAAATTATAAAAATTTAAATACAACTCTAAAAATTTTATATATAATGTATTGTAAAATTATAAATTTTATAACTTAAAAAATTGGTAAAAATACATTACACATATCTTTTAATGTATGTTATTATCTTAAAAGAGATTTAATTCTTGAATTTTTAATAAAGTTTATTAATTTTATAAGAAAATTATTTTATTATAACAAATTTTTACAAATTAATTTTTAATATATTATTTATAAAAAGCAAATATTTTTATTATTATTAGGATTTCTTCTTACTTTAAGTATTACAATATATAATACTAAATAATATATATTAATTTAATTATTTTTGTATTAATAATATTTAAAATAAATTCATCATATTTTATTAAATAATTTTAGTTAATTAATTAATAATTAAAATTCAATTAAAATTTCTTTAAAAAGTTGATTTAAACTAAATAAATATGTTAATTTATTAAGCTGTATTAAATTATTTTTAATTGATTCAATAATTTAATTTAAACTACTAATTTTAAGATAGTATATAAACTTGTTTATATATATTATCAAAAAATAAAAGATTTTTTTTTCAAGAACTTTATTGAGCCATTCAATTTATCTTTCATCTAATGATTTATTAACTCTTTCAGACACCTTATCATTAGATAAATCAATAATATTATTAAAAAATCAGATGACATGTAATCTTTTTCAGATTTTTTATCTTTTACTTTTTATGCAAACAAAAATAGTGAGTAATTTATTACGAATATATATTTATTCTAGAAAATTAAATAGAAATAAATATATAATTAAAAAGTAATAAACTTAGTAAATAATAAAATACCTGCATAAGATTCTTGATTTCTTCATCACTTTGATCTATATTAATTAATTTTGTCTCACTTTCTTCTGAACCAGATGATATGCTATTAAAATCTTGTATCTTAGTTTCAAATGAAGCAGATATGAAAGAATATTATGCAGTTTCAATTGAACTTGATGATAAATTAACTTTTAAAAAATAAGAACTCTCAGCTAAATTAATAGCTCTATTATTGCTGATGAATAGATCATCAATATTTTCATCCATGTTTTCATTTCTGCTGGTGATTTTAGCCTATTCATATAAGAAAATATTTTGAGAATTTGTATCTTATAATAGGGTTGCATTCTATATATACCTTATTTAATTCTTTATTCTGCAGATATTCAAGTAATCATTAAGAAGAAGTATTCATATAAATATCAAGGCAACATTTTATATAAAAAAAAATTATTGTTATAATCTTACCTTTGATAATGACAGATTTTTTTTTGTTTTTGTTCTAATTTCAAATTATCGTTCAAAACATGTTTTTTGAACTTATTAGTAATTATCTTTTGTAATAATAAACCTTGTTCTTAGATGTCTCTTATTACATTCAAAATATGATAGGTCTAAAATAAACTTTTAAGAATAGGTTTAATAAGAAAGTAAATATATTAACCTATTTAAGGCAGATTTGAGTTTTCCTTTCGTCCTTCATAGAATTATTTTACAGGTTATTAGAAAATATTATCAAAATAGCCACTAAACTTGAAATATTACAAGATAACTTATTTGCTTCTTCATAAGTAACATGTTCTTTGCTTTAAGTAACTTAATCTCTATTTTAATATTATATCTCTTAACTTACAGATACTAAAAATGATTTATTTAATCTGAACTTTTATTATTCTTACAATTAAAAGTTAGCTTTTAAAATTATGTAACAAATTGTGATATGCTCACTAATAAGTACAAAATCTTTCCTATTATCAGTATGAAACTAGTATAGTAATCAGTAACAATGCAAATAATTTGCATACTAACACATTACAATTTATAGTGTGCTTGTCAACAAGTACGAAACCTTTCTCATTACTAGTATAAAATCAGCATAGTAGTTGATGACAGTACAGGTCTCTCCTCAACAAGTACAAACCTTTTCTACTATCAGTATGAAACTAATATGGTAGTTAATTATAAGACCTCCACACTGACACACCATTTATTAAATAATAGATACTCATATAAAAATCTTATTTTCACTTTAGAACCTTCTGCCTAATATCAGATGACTCAAAATAATACTTACTAATAATATTTAGGTCGCTATTGTATTGAAGATGCTCTATTTCTTTAACTTCAAAGTCCCTTCATGTAATCAAAACTTTAAGTATTTATAGAATAAAGATGTGTCAGTACTTTTCTAAAGGCTATATATTTTTACAAATAGGTTATGTTATAATCGATAAAATGTTT